GGGGGGGGGGGTTGTTCCTCAGCCCAGCCTGTACCCTCTCCAATCTGGGACCCCTAGAGGGATGTCCAACCAGCAGTCGGACATCCCCTGAGGGGTCCCAGATTGGAGAGGGTGCAGGCCAGGCTGAGAGACACCCCGCCCCCATGCATGAATTTTGTGCACTGGGCCACTAGTAATTATATAAGATAGCCTAAGACATTTTCCTACACTAGCTCCTTAAAGCTTGAATATAGAAAATATGAAGAAAGTCTGGAACTTCCTTGTATGGTGGTGTGGAAGTCTCCAGAAGATTCAGGGAGATGGGAATGTTAGAATAGATTTACCATGTAAGACTTGAGCATCCATCTCCTATGATAGACTTTATTGTCATTGCTAGAGCATCAAATTGTGATATTTGTGTGAGTGCTTCAATTCAATAAATTTTTCTATATACATACTTATATTCCACCCCTTGTGGAATAACTGAATCTCTACTCCCACATTTGCTTCCCAGGTTTCTGCTAGTACTTCCTATTCAGTGTATCAATTCCTTTAGTGCATAAATTAAGATCCCTGTGTGGGCCCAGAAGACACTCTATAAGAAATGCCCTGCTGAGTGGGCACCAACATCTCTCAGAAGCTTGGCTGGTGGTGGCTGCACTTCACAAGCTGTGGTTTATGGTGTCAATTGTTGCTATCAAACTGGGCTCTTTAATATTGATGTGAATGAGGCTAGGGCATAGCACTTAATCACTAGAGGTAAGATAGATATAATTACCAGCTTTTCATCAAGTTGCCTTGACCTTCAGATATTTGTGATAATAGCTAATAGGTCATGGTGTCCTTAGACATGAGATAGATAGGCAAAGGAAGAGAAATGAAAAAAAAGATGATAGGCAGAAGGCTCACATCAGCTCTTATAATGGGAAGTTGTTGACTCCTCACCCAACTTCCAGATCAAAGTCACTTCTCAAATTCAGAACTCATTGATTGAAGCACATGGTTCTTTTGAGAAAGAAGCCTGCAGTGCCACATGCAATTTATACACTAAATTTCCCCACACTTTCCAAAGGAAAATGTAACCATTTCCAGGGTAATTCAACATGGAGGAATTGGAAAATCCAGACATTTCTAGGACTGTTAGAAGGTCTGAGCTGACACTGATGCCATAGAATCTGAAACACTACCATGGTTCTAGTTAAATGGGAGTTTATGGAGTTTAACAGTATTTACAAGTATCTTTGGACCTGACCTGTGGTTACTTCTTTGGTCCTCATGTGCATGATTAAGAGAGAAAATACTTAGCAGCCGGGAGAATCTGAATATATGGCCTATGGAATCAGAGCCACTAGGACATCACTCTTGACATCACTCAAGTGGAAGCCCTGAAAACCACACTCCTTCCCTGAGGAAAATTTTAAATCAGAAGTAAAAATAGGTTTACAGATGTGAGTATGTGGAACACAGTTTATTCTTGTATTATTATTATTTATTGTATTATTTTCCATATGAACAATTGTAAACCTACTTTGCCCCATCCTGTATTATAGAAAGAACTGCTGAGATTAATACCACTGTCAAACACTTAGAGGATGGAGGGGTGATGGTTTACATATTTCCATGAAATTCACTTATATGTACTAGTATCCTGCAAAAATGAAATGAATCTTGGTAGATGTATATATTACTATAAGTTTACCAAGTGGCAGTTCCAATCACAGCTGCTGTATTATACTATCTGCCACAGAAACTGCTATTAGGGCTACCACTCGGTTACGTGACAGTAGATTAACATAGGTGACACGTCCATCGTATATAAAAACTGCTGTTTGAAATTT